GTCAAGCACACTTTGCACAGTAAAAATGAGCTCAGCACTAGAAATAAAAATCTTGCAGCTGTGCTTCTTCAACACAGCATTGTGCTGCTTACACACAGTGTAAATACTATAAACTGTAATTTGAGCATATGAATAAATGTGCTGCTTACGTTTGAATATGAAACAGACCTGATATAATGAGAAATGTTAGTCGCTTACAATAGCACAAGGCAGTTTTGCACTGCAAAGACCCATTACAGATTCAATGCATGTTCTCATCCCCTCATCAGCAATACAGTAAATAATACGCTTAAATGAAGGTTTCTAAACTCTGACTCTGATAAACCTGACCACTGAGCAGTAGCGGCAATCATTTCCATATACGAGGCTTTCCGGGCCACCTAAGCCAAATTGTGCAAGCTAAGCACAAGATGAAAGCAGTCACGTTCCCGGTTCGGTTGTGCGTTAGCACAAAAAAAATGCAATGTAGAAAGGTGAATAAATAAACCTGGTGGAGTGAGTGAATACGGGTAGGTGAGGAGGTGCTAATTAGTTTCGGTCCTTTGATGTCACCATCACCTGTGCTGCACATGAACCTTTCAATTAGCAAACACCAAGATGTACACATCAGCTGTCCTCAAAGCCCTTTCCCAGCTTTTTTACTCAATCATGTACTTGCGGGGTACATTTAGCCATGGGTTTTCCATTAAGACGGAGAGCTGAAGGAATAAAGAGCGAGCTAGAGTGAAAGCAAAGTGGGTAAACAGACACAGAATAACTCCAGTAGAAAAAAACAGATGGTACCATCAAGAGGTGAAAGGTTTTTCTGGCCGATGAAGAGATAGATGACGGGGAGAGGAGAGAGATACGGTGAGAACAGGGAAAAAAATGTCAGGCGGGAGAGCAGTGAGGATAGTGACCTTCAGACTTAACTGCTAGTTTGTTGCAGGTGGCTGGGATGCCTTACTGTGAATGCATAACTCCCATGAAAACACACACACACACACACACACACACAGACCTTCTAAATGTCACACATCACTTTGGCGCAAACACACAAACACACACACATCTTGTCTACCTCTCTCTTCCTCACTCTCTTTTTCATTTCTCCCCTCGAGAGTCAACATTCACATTCATCACAAGTTGTTGACCTCTGTATCTCAAACTATGGGTATACACACACACACACACACAGACTTTTGGCCTTCATTATCAGCTGGATAGAGGGTTGCAGGATTGGGCCATTTTTAATGACTCTGAGAATATTAAAAATATAATTTACCCTCCAAAATTAAAAGTTCACCTTTATTTATTCATTCTCGTGTTGATCCAAACATGTATGACTTTCTTTTTTCTACAGAACACAAAAAACGACACATTAAATAATGTCTCTGTGTTTTTTGGTCCACCCAATGAAAGTCAATGATGTCTAATGGTGTTTTGGATCCCATTAACATTTATTATATGGACACTCCTCAAAACGTTTTTCCTGAAAATATTGTCTTCCGTGCTCCACAGAGGAAAGAAAGTCATACAGGTTTGGAAAGACATGAGGTTTATTAAATTGTGACAGAATTTTTATTTTTAGGGTAAACTATTTCTTTAAGACAGAGCATCTTTAGATTTAAACTTCAGTAGTAAAATTGGCAATAGAATTGGAAAGTTTGATTCATTTCATGCCAATCAGTTCAAACTGTTTCAATGATTTGATTCAAAATGGATTCAACAATTCATCAGCGCTCAGAATGTTCATGCAAATCACTCACATATTAATGTTTTATTTTAAAATACATGTAGATAAATATTGCTTATTATTACTATGTATTGTTATATTAGGGGAAATAAATACAAATTAAATATTTATTTTGTGTGTTAATTTTGTGAAGAATACTGTGGAAAATAATTTTAATTAGATATTCACATATTTTATTTATATGTAAATATATTTACTAGATATTTACTGTTTTAGAATTATTAAAAAAAACAATAAGAATAATAATTCAGATAAATCACTATATCAGTTCTGATAAAAACTGAAAAAAAGTTACCTTTTTTAAGCTATAAATCCCAGCCCTAGTTTGTTGTTTTCGGTTTACTTGGGATTTCAAGTAGCTGGGCATTACTGAAAGACCTGGACAGTAACTTAGAGTAATTGTAATGCTGCAAACATAAAGAGCAATAGGGAATCCTGACAGCCTGCAGAAGTTCTTTATGAGTAGATACTTGTGTGTAACTGATGACTGCACACTCTCTCCAGTTTGCCCTCTCCCAAACTCTTCTCCTGTGGGTGATCCGGAGCGTGTACTGATGCTTTATACACTATTATGTTGCTATTTCCAATGCATAATCCTATTTAGTAAACGTATATTCAATTAAAAGCGGGCCACAACCCTAAGGTGATGCTTGGTTCTCTCATATCGCTTTGTCAGTGTCTACAATGAGGCTGACTTTAGACTAGCAGAGTGTGAAATTAAACAGGTGATAAATTCACCGCTACGGCCAGACGCAGAGAACACTGTCATTTTTCATTACCTCCAAATAAAAGAGTGAGAGAACACTGCGATTTCTTTCTTATGACTAATGAACATGCGTATTGAAGCCAGGTCTAAACAAATAAATAAACCATCTCTGTGTAAATAAACAGCCCCTTTGGCCCCTCTGAGAAAATGTTTTACTTTGACACTATATTTTGTAAAAATCATACCAACCATCACACAAATGGCGTGCGGTGTTTGAAAGCTAAATTTAAGATAGACAAAACAGTTCTGTTTTCGTCACGTTAATACCCCGTTCACTATTCTTCTACATCCAAAGGCGATGTGTTTCAGCCGCCGTTTTTTTTTTTCTTCTGCAGTCGGTGTCCTTAATGTTAATGCAAGGAAAAACAGAGAAAAAATCACTTACTGTTCTTGACTGAATTACTTTTGCAATTTTAACAAGAATTAATCTATATTTAATTTATACTGTGAAGACTATGCGATGCCATTTTACATTTGATTATTCAGTTTCTGTACCTGAACTCGGTTTCTGTTTCTGTACATCTACAAATCTGAAAAAAAAACTTAAATCATTGTTTATTTGTACAATTTACACAATTTCAAACAGGGCCCACAGGTACAACCTGCACTGGGGCCCCGCAAACCCCAACTACGGCTCTGGTAACATCAAAGGTAGAACTGAGGAACTTTGTGGATTTTTGGCAGAAAAAATTAGTTAAATAAAGTTATAAACAGTTTTTTATGACTGTTTATAACTTATTTATAGAATTTTTTTAATTGTTCATTATTTTATTAGTATTTAGTCGAAATATATCTGTTGATATTACTGTCTATATACTTTACAAAACTGTTCAAAAAGTTTGGGGTTGGTAATGTTTTTGAGAGTAGTCTCTAGTCTCTTTTTAAATAACTGTTATCTTTCTTAATATATTTAAAAAATATTTAATATATTTTAATTTATTCCTGTGATGACAAAGCTGAAATTTTAGCAGCCATTATTCCAGCCTGTCACAGAAATCCTTCAGAAATCGTTCTAATATGCTGATTTGGTCCTCAATTTCTTATTAATATCCATGTTGAAAACAGTTGTGCTGCTTAATATTTTTGTACAAACACACGCACGCACGCACGCACGCACGCACACATATATGTACAGTATATGTTTTATTGTGCATATATTGTGAATATTAAATGTGTGCTATTAAATATTAATGAAATAATTAAAGTAGAAAGCAAGGTACCATCTATAACTGCATCAAAATAAGAATAAAACTGAATCTCAAACACTGACACAACAGAGACCTATGGCGAAAAGACAGAGAACACAAGCCGCATACTGATGCCTGCATTCCATGCTTCAAATATACTGGGGTGCCTCAGGGCTCAGTTCTTGGACCACTTCTCTTCTCTGTCTACATGGCATCACTAGGTTCTGTCATTCAGAAACATGTTTTTTCATATCACTGCTATGCTGATGACACTCAACTCTACCTCTCATTCCATCCTGATGATCCGATGATAGCTGCTCGCATCTCAGCTTGTCTAACAGACATTTCTTGCTGGATGAAGGACCATCACCTTCAACTCAACCTTGCCAAGACAGAACTGCTTGTGGTTCCATCAAACCCATCGTTTCATCACAATTCTTCATTTCATCAACCATAACTCCTTCAAAAACAGCCAGAAACCTTGGAGTTATGATTGATGATCAGCTGAATTTCTAAGGCCACATTGCTAAAAATGTCCGGTCTTGCAGATTTGCTTTATTCAACATCAAGAAGATTAGGCCCTTTCTTTCGGAACATGCTTCACAACTCCTTGTTCAAGCTCTTATTCTGTCCAGGCTGGACTATTGTAATGCTCTCTTGGCAGGTCTTCCAGCCAGTTCTATCAAACCTTTACAATTAATCCAGAACGTGGCAGCAAGATAAATTTTTAATGAGCCAAAAAGAATGCACGTCACACCTCTGTTTATCAATTTGCACTGGCTACCAATAGCTGCTCGCATAAAATTCAAGAGATTAATGTTTGCCTACAAAACCACCACTTGCTAATCTTTTTGTATTTTATCTATTTGTTTTCTTTTTATTTATTATACAATTATCAAAAGCAAAAAAGGCCTCTAACACTAGCTTGCTCTATTCTTTTTCTATTCTATCTGTTTTTCTTTTTATTTATTATATAATAATAAAAAAAACCTTGCTACGTGTACTGTGTTAAGCTAACTGAGACTTGTTATAGCACTTGCATATCATTGCCCTTTTGTTGATTTTGATAGCTTCCATTGTCCTCATTTGTAAGTCTCTTTGGATAAAAGCATCTGCTAAATGACTAAATGTAAATGTAAATATGATGGGTCACTAAGTGCAGTTGATGAAAGGAGGTTAAATTGGCCAGGATAAACTGTTTGGAGTGAATCCATTAACTCGGCTAGCCCTGAGACCAAATATGAAAATCAGCAAATAACAGGGAGTTCAGCTCCTCACTTATCTTATCACATACATGAACACATAAACTCACCTTCATCACAGACGCCAGGTTTGGTCACCTCAATCTTCCTCTGTTTCTTGCAGGAGGCCAGCCACAGCTCACAGTCATTGTCGTAGGTGGTGCCGTCGCTACCGCACACAGGTTTCACCGGCTGACCCGTGCACTGCTGACACTCACACTGGTTCTGCAAGCACCGCGCTCCCCAGCTACACACAGTGCTGCCACAGGTTTCTGATCACACACAGGCAACACACGCATCACAGCATTGGATAGTTGAGACACAAAGAGGTGCAAGAAACATGTTCACACCTCAATAAACGTCCTCTTGAAACTCCAAAAGCATTCACATGGGATTCTACTACATAAAAACCACCATGTAAAAAAAATCATGTACCATGCAGAGCACGATTTGGAAAGAGTGCTAAAACAGTTTCTTGTGTTTTGACAAGAACTGCACTGCAAAACATTTTCTTAATCAGTATTTTGTCTTGTTTTTTAGTACCACATAATTCAACAATTTAAAAACGCAAAACAAAACACAATTTGCTTGAAAAGTGCACAAAATAAAAAATTTTTTCAGAGAACATTTATCTTGAATTAAGTTTATTTTTCTAACTAAATTATTTCTTCTTGCTTGAAGCATAAATCTAAAAAACATGGGATTTATGCATAAACAAAACAGATAAACTTAATTCAAGATACATTAGGAAAAAAGTAATATCTGACACAATATTGTAAATTAAGTAAATGTATCTTGTTCTAAAGAAACTTTTCCTGGAAATCAAAACAAAAATACTACAGAAAATGTTTTTTTTTGCAGCAAACGCAGACTGATGAGTGAACATGTATGAAGGTGATGGATGAATTGACGGTCGTTTTTCTGTACTCACTGCATTCTCCATGGGCCACCACCCTGAGATCCAGCTGCTTAGTGCAGGCTTCCACGTTCAGCTTGCACTCGTTCTCGTACGTCATCCCGTCACTGCCGCACACGGGCTGCCGTGTTTCCAAACACCCTTTGGGGCACACACACCGGCCAGTCTGAGCATCGCAGATCGCGCCAAATGAGCAGTTGGTGCAGGACTCATTTGCTGAAAAGGAAGTGTGACGTCAACGGATTCAGATTCAGGCTACAGATTCACACCATCGCTCACTAGGATCAGCCTCAGCTGCCCGGCCGTCTGTCCGCTATATAAAAATCTCTCTGCAAAGTCTGGGCTAAAGCATCCTTCCATTGTATAGATGGAAGCAACACTGCTCTGCTTACATGCAGTCACAGTAGAGCATCTTATAACATTTCAACTGATGTTGAGCCTTCGGACACAGTTACAGCCCCCTTGACATGACATTGCATTTAATTAACCACACATCAATATTTAATGAGAAAGCCCTCTAATTAAGCTACAAAGCACCTTGTGATATATTATTCTTAATGTGCAATTAGTTGTTAAATCATACAATTAATTTGACTATTAATTATATACAGAATAAATATAATTTCATTAAATATATTATATACAAATATTATATATAATCAATTAAAAATGTTGTAATAATATATATTTCTATTATTAATTATATATATATATATATATATATATATATAATTTTTTATTTGGTTAATTCATGATATTAATTACAATATGTAATTAAATTATTGAATTGAAGATATAATTGAAGATATAAATTGTTCTAATATTATTTATTTCCATACACAATTTACACAATTTATATATGGGTCAGAGTGTGATTAAAGGTTTTAGTGTGTGTGTGTGTGTGTGTGTTTTAAATCACAGTTAACGTGTTAAATTGACATCCCTAGTTCTCAAACATCTTGCTATGATTACTGAGAGCCCAGTTAATCAGTAAAACAAAATGTGGTTCCAACTGGGAGGGAGGGAGCATGGCCGATGACAATTACACCTGGGGGATCGCATTAGAGCAACTGCTATCACATTCAATTAGTGCTGGGGTAATAACAGCACCTGATTTAGTGTTAATGGAGAGAGGTCCTCATGCATACATTTCTCGTCTCTCTCTTCTACAAACCTGTTTATTGCACATTAATAAAGTGACCTCACCTCCGCTCAGGATCTGCACTCAGTCAACCTCAGAGACCACGCTCGGCCGTCTTATTAAAAGCAGTCGCAGCATGCTGCCCAGCAGCCGCCCAAGTGCGCCTCGTCGTGACAGTCCAATATAGGCCGATAAATCACATTCTCATGGCTGCTGTATTCTCCTTTATCAGCATGTGTGATAAAGGCATTTCTTTATCAGTTGCAACATGTTTCCATGCTTTCACAGCCTCGGCAGAGGGAAGCGCAATAGATACGACAGTCTGTTACGTAAAAACAGCAATCCAGAATACAGAGCTGGACCTGAGATACGAGTACAGACAGCGGTCTTTTGGGCAGAGCTTAGCCTTATGGGAAACAAGAAATTCTGACCATTCAGGCCCAGAAATGAAAATTGTGCCATCATTTACTCACTCTCATGCCATTCAAAACGTGTATGACTTTCTACCCACAGAAACACAAAGAGAATTTTGAATAATGTTTCACTCTTTTGTATGCAGTTACAATGAATAGGGAGTACAGCTTTCAAGCTTCAAAAAGGACACAAAAGCACAATAAAAAAGTATAATAAAAGGTATAAAAAAGGTTTGTACCATTTGTGTGTCACATATAAAAGTCTTGATATGGCAGCTTTGTGTAGGAAAAAGACTGAAATGTAAGTCATTGTTAAGCTGAGTCATTGAGAACTGAATCAGCCTGATATGCAAACAAATCGTTCGTTTTGGATCAATTCATTGTAAATTTTTTTATTTTTTTGTCATCACTATTTCTGTAAAAAAAAAAAAAGTCTTTCTACTTCAAAATTCCAACTTTAATTCAATGTGTTACTTGCCTTTTGTCATTAATTGTGTGAATTGAGTGAAAATTGTTTTACATCGAATTTTTTTTCAGTGTAGGAAAGCTAGAATAGATGTTTTCAGAATTTTTATCAGTGAATAATTATTCAAATGTTCAGAATTCACTTTCATTATAATGAAAAAGTGGATTTTCTTCAAAAAAGCAAAGTCATACAGATTTGTTGCAAAGTCAAAAGTTTTATTTTTGGGTGAACTAGTCCTCTAAAGTTGATCGGTAAACTGCTCTCTTTTGTCCAGAGAAAGGAAGGAACATTGTTAATGTCAGGTACAGAACAGCACTTTCTGTGAATAGTGGTGAAAATTCCCTGGCGATTGATGCTTGGGCAAGGGCACCGGCTCTATTAGTCTGCTCCATCTCCTCCTAGTTTTTATTTACTGCCCTCTCACTCCTTCAACAGCCTGATGATTTTTCTTCCGCTTCCAGCTCAGTGTCTTGCAGGTAACCTATATTCCCCAACTGTGGCCAGTAACATTTCAATCACCAGTAAAAAGTGCTTATTTGCTGCTGACCTGTTGGCTGTTCTTTAATTTCCTTGCATATAAACATATATGTATTGGTTCTCAGAGGGGCAGATATCAAATACTCCATTACAACGGCAAGCTTTCCTGTAGCTGCACTACAAGGTCAGCTGCTACTCAAATGGGAGGGAAAAAATCAGACTAATAAACAACGTCAGTCATATCTCTGTCAGACTGCACCTGAGCTATAAAGATAAGGGCATTTATGAGTCTCCCCTCTATGCGGAGTGAAGAAAATTAAATGAAATTTGTGGGTGCATTGCTACCAACAACGACTCACATACAAGCTTTCATGAACAAATGCACACAAACACAGCTGGGGTCTTAGTGAGGAAGAGGCTTTGGTCTGAATGGGCCTGGATAATTAACGGTGATAATAATAGAATTCACTTGTGCTGGAGAGTGTGGCTGTGTACACAGCACTAAATGAACAACGTTTCCTTCCGTATGGTTAGCTGTTTGCAGCTGCTCTCTTTATTGCCCCTTTCCATTGACACCTGCTCCAGCGAGGGGCCAGACCCATCAACATTGCTGTGATGCTGTAATGGGTGGATTTTTAAAACTACAATGATTATTTCCAGCTGGAAAAACCAGGCCAATCCTGTTCAAGGTGGTTAAGCTTGTTTATGGAATACCACAGCAGTTTTTAGCTGATCAACGATGGTCTATCATCTCTAAATTGCTTGTCCAACATGATCTAGCAGGTCTAAACTAGTCTCACAATTTCGCAGTTCAGTTGAGTAAGCATCTAGAGAAAATTGGACCAGCTAAGAAAACCAGACTTATTTGGTCCCATCCAAACCTGTTTCTGTGGGTTAAATCTCTGTGGGTAGTTAAGCTGATGTTCCAGAAGCCTGTGAGGAGAGAGATATCACTCTCATATGTCATTTACTATCTGGCAACATATATAGCATGATAAATAAAGTGCAGCCGTGGCTTCTAGCGATCTGAGATGAATTTTACTGCTACCAAATGACCCCCGGTATCCATTTCAAACTCTTCACTGGAGGCATTGCCAATGCACACACATGTATAAACTGCAAACGTATGACACTTCTGTTGACACAATAGCTCCACCTCATTCTCTCTAAACTTAAGCCGACAGTGAAAGGGACAGGCTTTACAAAGGGCTCCAAGTTTAGAAGAAAAAGTCTCCTTAACATTCCCCTCCCAAGCACAAAGACAGCCATCGAAAATGATTTACAAGCCTTTTGTGAAAAACACACATAAACATGCGTTTGTTTGGAGGGCGAGCAGGCCTCTGCAGACTTATCTGGAGCATGCTTACAAAAGCCAGACAAAAAACCCACGACTCATGCAAACAATTACTGTGAAGGATCCTGCCCTCTTTAATTCTAACTTAAGTGCATCGTTTCAAAAAAAGGTTGTGGAGGAGGAAAATTACAGTCCTCTCTTGAAATATCGGTGGAGTGCTTAAGTGCAGGGGGTGGACGAGGATGAAAAGCAGTGAGGGAGTGAGTGGCATCAATGTGTGAGTGTGTGTGTGGACTCACCACATGGTCCTTTGTGCTGCATCTGTATCTGTTTCTGAAGGGCACATCCCATGGCTTTCATTTGACATGAGCTACTGTAAGCGTGCCCATCACTGCCACAAACAGGGTCTTGGTCCTGTGGACACGCGTCTGAGCACTCGCACACAGGCTCGCTGTTCTTAACCACACACACGGCTCCAAACTCGCAGGTCTTCTTCAGGCAGGGGCTCTCCAGGTTAAGATCTGCCCCAAAAAGCAGAGAAACAAGTTATCATTCTATTTAGATGAAGATGGGAAAGACCAGGAGGAGGGGAAAGAATAAAGGTAGCTAAATCCAGATGTCATTCTCCTTCCCAGTGCTTAATCAGGTTTCTCTTGACTATTACAAGAGTGACAGCCGGATCCTACTTTTAAATTGTCACATCCATGTTCCACGTTTACACCTTTGAGACACCAAAATTCTGCTATGCTTGTCTCTATATCAAACATTTCAGCATCTGGAGTGACTCCAGTTTTCCATTCACAGACAGTACAATAATTTAATAGATTTAATCCCTCATTTAAATGTGTTTTTGTACCCATAACCACTGCAGTGTGCATGTGAAATATCATTCCTCTTTTACATCTGTGAGACACCAAACCGTTGCTATGACCTCTTTATCAAACATTTCAGGATCTGGAGTGACTCCAGTTTTCACATATGGTACAATAATTTAATGGATTCATTAAATGCATTTAAAAGTGGTTTTCACACCCACAACCACTGCAGTGGGTATGCAACCTATGATTTAGTAGAAATAGTTGATTCTCTTTAAAGTTTTGGACACAAAACGCAACATTTTTTCTTAAACCACAACAACTCGTGGTCTGAGAAAATGTTATACGAACTGCTTGCTAAACAGATATGCACTCTGACTTTGCAGCTGTAAACATGCAGCCCATTAGAGCATCCAATCAGAACACTAACTACTCACATCTCATTTCATGCATCACTAACCAAGCCTCTCTCAACTACAGACAGAAAAAAAAAAGACAGACGAGTAAAACACAAAGCATCATCCCAGAAAAGGGAGAGTTCTAGTTAATAATTCAGTGCACTGGGCTACAGCACAGATATGAAATATGAACATGAAAGAGAGTAGCTGGGACTCTCAGCGGTGCACAGTAGTTCCACAGTAAGTTCATTAACTGCTGCAGTTAGTAGACAGAGGGCCGAGGGACAGTGGGACTGAACACAAGCCCTGTTTTTGATGCCAACACAGAGGGAAAGAGAACGTAGAGAACGAGAAAGAAGAAGTGGGTCAGTGGTGAACCAGCACAGCTCACTGTCCTCATTTCGCCCAATCAGGAGGAAGTTTTATTAAAACAGGTAAAAAATTAATGCACAAAAAGGATGGAGGAGGTTTCTAGGAGAGATTCCGTAGAAGCATTGACCCTCATTTCATTCCAAACCTGTATAATGTTCTTTCTGCTGTATAAAACAAAAAGAGATGTTAAGCAAAATGTTCATGCTGCTCCTTTCCACACAATGGAGTTTGATAGATTATATTGTATGAAAAATAACTGTGAATATCGTGCCTAATTTTTTTGTGTGTTCTACAGAAAGTCATACGGATTTGGCATGACATGAGGATGAGTAAATGTTGACATAAATTTTTTTTTTAGATGAGCTGGTTTTATAAACAAATGCACAACATGCTGCACATTTGTATGCTTGGGCTCCACAGCTGAGGGTTGAGAAATGCTATCATTTCCAAATAATATTACAGACACTCAGATACATTTAATACTGCACACAAGCAGCTATCATACCACCTTCAGATAAATCAAATACGCTCCTCTCTGTAAAAAATTACTTTCTTTTCCAACAAGATACGAACAAATAAAGGACAAAATAATGAGAAAAAAAATTACGTAATTTCGAGCTTCTTGAAGGGAGAAGAGATTTGCTGTACTCCAAAACACACTGAGCTGCTTAAAGAGGCAGCATTTTCAAGCATGCTAGTTAGAGCAATATGATTTTGAATAATAATTATTATTTTTCTAATAAAAAAAATTGTGATTAAAAATGCAATTAAAAAACAAACAAACAAAACAGTGCCAGGTTTGCTAAGCTTCCCTTATGAAAATTAACCACGGTTTTATTATAGTAAAAGTGTAGTAACCATGTTTTATTGGCGTATTGACTACAATTTGTATAGCCACAGTTTTACTACAAATATCATGGTTAAACTATGGTTAGTGTAGCAAAACCATGGTTAATTTGTGGTTCCCTTTCGTGGAACTTCGAACTGCATCCTCTAGGGGTCGCTATGGGGAACGCCTCATCGTGACCCGTGTCTGAAGCCTACATTGAAAAAACACCAACTTGTTTGGCCGGCGACAGCCATGACGTCACTACCGTCGCAACTAGTACAAAATAGGCGCCGGTAGCGCACATCATCACTTTCTTCGTCTTCACTGACCGTTCTGTTTGAAGCGTGCATTCCAAAAGCAAAGTAAGAGTATTTCTTTTCCTACTATGGCGAGCACTAGCGGAGCGTTTAGAAAGTGTGTACATCCGTGCCAGCGGTTCCTGACACCCGATGATTCACACGATCTATGCGTTGTTTGTTTGGGCGAGGAGCACGCACGCGATGTCTTCGAGGAGGCAATCTGCGTGCATTGCGAGAGCTTTTCGCTGTGGTTTAACTATCGTAACCATGTTTTTTTGGTTTCAAATGTAGGAAAACTATGGTTAATTTTCGTAAGGGTTGTTTGTAGGGCTGCATTTTTTTTAATTACTATTGATATATGATTTTTATTATTAATGAAGAGTAATAGAGTAAGGGTAGTAAGATATCTAGTAGGCTATCATTAAAATTCGAAATAAGTCAAACCTAGAATCCATTTCAACAAGCTAAGTGGAACAGGGACTGCAGATGCAAAATAGCCTTCTGGCTAATTCTGGCACATTGTGCATTTATGTATTGTTGATGTGCATTGTCCCTGTCAAATAAACCTGAAATAAATAAATAAGTAAAAATAAATTCCCCATGGCGTTGTTGATAATAAACTTAATTTTCAGTCAGTACTGAAAAATATCAATAAAAATAGTTCAGTATAAATAAAATCAACTAATACAAATCGATAATTTGGCTGTAAATTTAGCATGCTAACATCAAACTACTGAAATTGTTGTGTGGCGCTATTGCTATGGTGCACACACTATGTAGAAAGTTCTAAACTGGTTACTAACAAGATTCCATGGCAGTTAAAATGTTCTCTTAGAAGTTGACTATGTAGACAGAAGGCAGCTCATTAGGTTTAGCACTAGCAAACAGAGCTAAAGACTTAGTCTGTGCCTTAAATAATACTTAGCAAGAGTGAGACCCTCAGACAGTCTCAGGGCTGTAGTGAACTGCAAGAGGCTGGGGGGAAAGATTTGAACGCAACCCTTCTCTAACCTCTTCCTGGCGCTCACCTATAATCCCGCCTCACATCTGAAGACGGCAGCCAGGGAGAAGCGCATATCAAACACACATGAAGCACAGCATGCATCAAAAGACCATGATTAGTACTCCAAAGCATGTTTTTCATGATAGAATTCAAGCGGTGCCACACACACACATTTCTTTTAAACTCACACATGCAACTGCTCGGCTAAGCCAATGAAAATAAAAACAGAAGTGGGGAGTATAAGCAGGTTAACTTCCCGACTGCTGTGTTCCTGTGCCAATCTAAAAGTGTCCTACAGTAGAAGCTCCTCTAAGAGAACGTTTCCGGCTATAGATTTCTCTGCTGAGAACGAGAGCTTAAAATACGTCTTGAACTGGCACGTAACTGTGTAAACAGTGGATTGGTGCCTAATTTCATAGGCCTTGAAAACAGGCTTTTCCTCCAGATCTTCTCTCTCAGCGTCTCTCCATCTGTGCCTTCTAAGCAACCGGCTGGAGGACGGTGAGATCAGGCTCATCAGTAAAGCCCTCATGACCTTCAAAACACTTCAATGACCCATTTCCCAAGGCACAGGCTCCTAAAACCCGAACCGCAGCCTTCGATAATACTTTGTCCCAAGCCACCCTTTGTTTCCTTACAAAGATGAAAGAATCGCTCTCCTTAAAAAAACAAATAAAGAATACAAAATTTAGATATGAAAAGAAACGTTCACTTGTTCAGTTTCTCATTTTCAGTTTTTCGTCTCTAGGGGATGGGACAAAAAACCTTCCAGATTTAATAAGTCAAGGAAGAGAAAGTTCTCTGAGAAATAATGTAACATGCCGGCACGATTACATACTTCATAAAAAAAGCAGCCTGGCTTTGGTTATTGAGATGGCTTGCATAGTCTTTCAGTAAAAAATGAGCCCTTTTTGGAGCCTCTTTGAAATAGTGGGCTGCCATCCCCGAGGCCTGTGCTGCAGTGCCAGTCTTCAAGGACTCCAGCTGTAAGCTGGATGACAGCCATATGCCTCGACGGGACTGCCACTGAGACACAATGCACGTAGAAACGAGCGCATCTGATGTTTTTTTCAGAGGTTAACGTATGTAAAAGAAAGGAAAGCTGCATAAGTTAAAAAGTAAGTGACGATGGAAAGTGGTGGTGTACATTCATTAGGAGCCTGCGTGAGAGCTTGTGTGTGGAAAAGCGGGTCTAATAATGAGAAGGTGTGAAGAAATAGCGGGACTTGGAAGAGCTGTGTAATTGCCACGTTCAGGCCTGAGAATCCCCCACACCTCCAACCCCTGCGGTGTTATATAATATGCGTGATTTGGCTCCGCCTCCTGCTCTACATCCACACTGCAATTTTGTACTACATTATGCATTCGTACTAGTAGCGTTTAATTACTATTGCCACTGAAACAGGATGTTAAGGACTATTAGCACATAGTACGAGATTCTCCTATTGTGACGGCTTCACTACATGCTTTATCCTGACACGTCGCCCACCCAAGGGACACTCCCACTCACATTTCACCACTGTTATGTGCTATTTAAAGAGCAGGTCTCTTGTGCCAATGAAGATTTCTTTAACTTGGTTTTAAGGGCTGTCAGAACGCAAACAGTCAGCCAACACACACTTCAGGGGGTCTGGTAAGCTTCTTCAGCTCAGCTCTGGCGCAAACTTGGCGTACAGTGTGAACGCAGAGAATTATTCCTACGATCTGTTTCATGCACGCTCATGCATATGGAGATCTCCAGCCCTTGCATTGGGATTACAGGGCATGCGTGAATCATGATACAAATGAGTGTCTCCTCCATCTCT